ATTTTTATGATACTGTCGGCAAGCTATATTTTCAGAGGTGACAGCTTGATCACAAGTTATAAAGAATCACGGTTCATCACTGAAAGTTCCCTTGAGCATACTTTCGTGACACAAGTATTGATAAGTTGTTCAAAGAATCTTTTGGCGATGAAAAGTTTGGAAATCTAACCATCCAGCAGATCTTCTGAAAGTGTTGGCATGATCAAGTAGTAGTGGAAAATAAGTGAAAAAACAATTGAATCATGAAGAAGAAATGACTGATAAATTCTAGCAAGACGGATTTGTAGAAATCTGTGATGAAATTTTGTCGTACAGTGGCATAGTATGAGGAGTGAAATGGAAAGGTGAACAAATTGAAAACAGAAACAGTATCACACAAGCTCTCTTGTGGGGTATGCTCTAGACACAGAAAAAAATTCATGGAAATCAGTTATATTTTAATTCAAAGTGATCTTTCGAAATAAGTCCCAGCTGTCTTCAGTTATAATATTATTAGTCTGGTCACCCCTTGTTGGGTACTTCATAGATATTATATACAGTTTGATATTATTGAAGACAAGTTGAGAAGTACAGTTCTAGGAAGAGCCTCGTCCAATCTTTCAAACTGCTAATACCACTAGGAAGATCAACATCAGTCGCTGCTGAGACTTCAATTTATAACTTTCATCCTCGCAGTTAACGCATATATGATGTCTACCGCAGTAGCAGACGAAAAGTTTGATTTGATTCAATCGTGACTTCAACCGCAAAATCCCATGTTATTATACAAGGTGTAACAAAAATACTTTTACATATTCAAGACCCGTATTCCTGAGAAAATTTTAAGAAGGACAGTCTCTATGAACTTATGTCCGTACGTGCTTCATTAAGGAGGTACAAGGTGTTGGAATGCAAATTTTTTTGTTCGTTTTTCAAAAACAATTTTCCAAAAAGAAGTTATTTGCACGAATTTTGGTACCTGTGGTTATTATGACGTAGAAAATCATAATTTCCTAATAATGTTCATGTAACATCTAGAGGACGATGCGCACACTGTCATTATTGATTTCAAATTGCCTTTACTTTCCACAATTTTCCAATATTTAGATTTTCTATATCGATGCATATTACTTAACTCATTGGGCGCTAAGTGAAGTTGCTGGGAACATCACAAAAACTAGTTATGATGTGGATATCGTCTAAATAAATACATTTTTCTCAAGGAATGTATATTAAGAAATCATTTATTATTGAGATAGAAATAACTGAAATTGCAAAAAATTCACGACAAAAACCAATGATGCTTTGAAAAATTTCAACAACTTGTATCTCTAAAACGAATGATTTTTCGATAAATATCTTAAATGAAAAATTTGTTCATTTTGATAAGATCCACCACATACCTAGTTTTTGTAATGTTCTCAGCAACTTAACTTAGCGCTCTAGGAGCTAAGTAATAAGCATCTATACAGAAATTTGTGAATATCCCGAAAACGATCAGCTCCAGAGTTGTTGAGATGGTGCACCTTTTATTACTTGGAAAAGGTGTGGAAATTGGGCTGTTCGTGAAAAGGACCACAAGTTTACTGTCAAAAAAGTTAGGAAATTTGAAATATATAATGACAGCGTACGCAGGGCCCTCCAGCCGTTACATGAAAATGAAAACTCATTTTCAAACACCTGTACCTCCGAAACGAAGCATTTACGGACAAAATTTTTAATATATTTTTTTTAAATTGTCTCAGGAATACGATACTTAAATATTTTAACGTACTCATGTTATACCCTGTATATCAATATCGTTTATATCTTTCTTCAACCAAAATTTTGCTGTTTATTATTAAAAAATGTTTTTTTCGATAATCATCCCATTTTTGTTGAAACCATTTCTAATGAACCATTTTTAATGTTTTTCATTTCGATACAGTTCATCAATATAATTCAGTAAAGCCTGGCCGTCATGAACTAGATCTTTCGAACTACCTCGGACGTAGGTAGGTACACGTATTTAGTTCTCAAGACAAATAAAGCTGGATGCTGAGCCCTCTAATAAAACGTACAGAACAAAGTTTGTTTATCTGCAGTTCGGACTTGTGGATTCCAGGGACAAAGAAATAAATGTTCACTCTCAGTCAATGAAGCCTGCTGGGTTTTTATTTTCAACATGGAACACAAAAGCTTTGTATTTTCCCATCCAATATTATTGTACCTTTTGTTCCTGGATTGTTGTCGTCTATACCGAGAAACCATAAAAATGTTGACTCGAACTTTTATTCTTTTCTCTCATTTATCGTTGGATTCTGGAAAAATTCCGATGAAAGAGTTTGATAAATAGTAGGGGAGTGAAGAAAAATCTATTAGTGCAACAAATATCACAACACTCTCTACTTGAACAACATATTGGCATATATATTCCTGCATAAAGTTCACGATTACTCATTAGAATTTTAGAAGAAGTTCGCTCCAACTTAAGACGAGGAATGAAATTCTCTGAAAGAATTTCGATTTTCAATTATGGAATATCATTGACTTCAGGTCGATGATGGTCACTATCTTGCACTGTCGAGTGGCTCAGGAGCCCTAAACCAGTCTGCAAGTGTGCCCGTTTCAAAATTGTAGGTCGACTCTTTCAGTTGTATTGCCAATTTCATATGCAGGAAATTTTCTGTGAGGATTCCTGCACTGACGCCTGCCGAATATAATCCAACGCCGTTCATGGTATTAGTCAGTGGAATAGTTGTTTTCTGATAGGCGTCAGTCCATTCTCAACCTACTGTGTAGGTATATCCGAAACTGGCTTGAACATTTAAAGTTCATTTCTGTAGATTTGTTCACTGACTGTCTTCAAGCATTACCCACTGATTATTAAAAAAGTTTTTCTTCCTTATGCAGAGGAATCGGGCAAATTTCGGATATGCAGTTGGTTAATACCTCGTTCACTAGATGGAGTAACATTTTGTTGTTCGCTCTAACTTAGGAAGAAGAATGAAATACTCTGAAGGAATTCCGATTTTTAATTATGGAATATCATTGACTTTAGGTTGATGATGGCCACTATATTGCACTGACGAGTGGCTAATGAGCCCGAAACCTGTCTGCAAGTGTGCCCGTTCCAAAATTGAAGGTCAACTCTTTCAGTTGTTTTGCCAATTGCATTTGTATGGAATTTTCTGTGAAGATTCCTGCACTGACGCCTGTTGGATAAATTCCAATGCCATTCGTGAAACATCATGGCTGATGTTTAAAAAATACTTTTATTCTTCTTTCCGAGCCCTGAGAAAAAAATTCAATAAAGGTCGTAATATTGGCAAAAATACCAACTACTTTTTAAGACAATTGTTAGAACAATAATGTATGTTGAATGAAAAATCTAAATTTTCATAACATCAATAATATTTACACTGCCTGTTCACTGTCTTTGAGAATGAGCTAAGTTCAAGTGTATTCTCTCGTGGTACTAACTTCGAAGATACTCATACAAAACTAACATTGAATACGAAAATTTGAATGACTTGACAATAGAAGACATAGCACGTTTGATAATGTAATTGAATTGATGATATCAAAAACATCGACCAGCTTTTTGTTCACAAATGATTATAAACTCTTTTTCCATTCTCAAACACAAGGTTGGAAAGCACTAACTATCGAATTTGCAACCAACGGAGGTTCTTGAATACAAATACTCGTTACCAAAAAAAGCAAATGGTAAACCACAACTACAAAATAACTCTAGCTTGAGATTCTTCAATTAGAAATGTGGATTGAAACCCACCTCTCAAAATTCATCTGTTGAGATGAGTGCAGTAGATAGCTTTTGAAATTTGGAAAATTTAGATTTCGTAGTCGAAGCATTTTCAATGCCTCAGCAGCGTTGCCGTAGCAATGGGCGGTAAAATACCACCACGTGTGGAGGTGAGAAATGCCTAGATGACGCATGATTCTAAAGTGAGTGTATCCATGCCGAAAATATGTGTAACATTGGGTTTAGTCAGTGTCACTAACAAAACCGAGAAACCGGAAAACTCTGCCATGATAGACCTTCCAGTTCCAGCTAAAATATCCGAACCTGAGCAGATGGATGACATCTAAATGACAGCAACTCTCAGCAACTGTCACAAAATATTTTCCAGATTTCGAGATGAATTTATAAGGAAGAAAAAGATTGACTCACCAGCATCAATTCTCCTCCCTGTAATATCTTCAACTCTTGCACAATCATAGGATGTCATCATTCTATTTTTGGACACAGTGGATATCCACTTCATTGTTATCTACTCACTTTGTCAATAAGAATAATTATTCTTGGACAATAAAGTACAGTTTGATTGATTGATTTGATTGATAGGAGGCTTGAAGGCTTGGTGATGCAACTAGGAAGTTACTCATTGTCTCCTTAAGAACAGGCTATAAGGTTTGTGGCTCTCAGGCAGACTGTGACGTCATCACACCAGCCAGGTTGCCTCTTAGCTCGCCATACAAGGCAGACAGATCACCCAGTCAACCAGAGTACACCAAATTGTCACCCAGCGGTGAGCCAATCGGAGTATACCAAATAGTCACGTAGCGTCCCCAAATTGTAACGTAGCTCGCCAGCTAATCAGGGCACACGCTTCTACATCTCAGAACATCGTGGCGGGAGATTTGAATTCTCTGTGGACATAAATAACTCAAACAGACGACCAGGCGTATCCCTCAACGAGACAGACCATCCAGTCACGTGGCGCGATTTCCTTAACCTGTCACTTTTTCCGGCTCTCCACACCTTTGTGATGTCTCAGCACACGTCATTGGGAATTTAAAAAAGATTGGAGAATTGAATGCTGGTCATTGGCGTGATAGGCTATGTTTTTAGACTCGAAACCAACGTGAGATATTAAAAGTATTTATGAAATAATGATATCTCGAAGGAAAATGCAATGTTTTCTTGTATGTTTTCATCAAATATGCTCCCTCATTAGTTCTCTGGAAATATTTGAACAAACCATGGCAAACCGAACATCGTTACAAAGTCTATTTACCTTGAACCCGATCCGCTCGGGAGCCCGAAGGGGCGGCAGTTCCGCGGCTCTCCAAAACAGCCGCTTTTAGCGGCCGTTCCCCCTCCACGCTTTCTTCATTGCTAACTAGATAGAGGGAGGCGATAGTCGCGAGGCATTTCAACTTCATGTTGCCTTTCTTGAAATGCTTGTGCCTCACAATGAATTCCAGACCCAAAACGGACGACTCGAGACCTTCTCGACCTGAAACATATCAAATTGACCGGTGTCAAAAAAAGTGATAATAATAATAATGATTATAATACTAATATTTCATCAGTTCGGACTTCCATTGTCTAATATACTATAAATTGATTCGATAACTCTGAAAAAAAATCAAAAAAGATTAACCGAAAATAACAATTTCATCAAACAAGAAACTGAAATTACAAAGAAATAACATACAACAACAACCAAACAAATAAAAATTGAAATAATAATAAAAGCTGAAAAAATTGAAAAAATTAAAAATATTATTAACAAAAAATGAAAAAATTGAAATTAAAAGATTTCAAACCAAGTTATGTCACCAACATATGTGACATAACTTGGCTCAGCTATTATTAATATTTCAATTTTCATTTGTTTGGTCGTTGTTGTGTGTTATTTCTTTGTAATTTCAGTTTTTCGTTTAATAAAATTGTTATTTTCGGTTAATCTTTTTTGATTTTTTTTCAGGGTTGTTCAAATCAATTTATATTATATTAGACAAGTCCGAATTGATGAAACACACCACGAACATTGTCTATCACCTTCAAACAAACGTTATAATACTGATAATCATCATTATACAGGGTGTCCCATATAAAACTCCACGGGCAAATATCTGAAAAATGAGAGAGAATATCCATATTTCGTGAAGGCAGATGATTTTGATGTCAGAGGGTCTACTCATTTGCGAAGAGATCCAGTAATAGGCGCCACCCATTAGGGCGTCGCGACACCGACGCCAATTTTTTTAAACAGTAACCTAGATTTTCTAATTCGTTTTTGGGATTCTGCAATAAATTCTGAATTCAGCTATATAACACACATGTAGTTTTCCTTGAATACTGAAGAAAAAAGGCAATTTTATTGCATATCATAAAGAGGGCCATGAATAAGTCAAAATGAATGCAATAATACGAGTTTAATAAAATGAATCCATCAGTTATGATTTCATTGTCTTGTCAATTTTATCTAGTTGCGTATTTCTGTACAAATTAAAATAAACGTTTCAAATTACCAAAAAATATGTTACTTTGGCCATAACTCGACTAACATGATGATAACGAAATCAATTAGTGATAACAAGAATCATTTCAGTACGTGTTCGAACTGCCTCCCTTCACGTAGAATACACATATTGCATCTTTTTAGTGATTCCTGACTCGTGACAGCTAAAAGCGCCTCTCGCGTTATGGAAGCACAAACATTTGTGATACTATTTTTCAATTTACATTTTGTGGACGACGCATATAAACTAAGCCTTCAATATATCCCCACAAGAAGAAATCTAGTGAAAAATATCCGGACTTCGAGCTGGCTATGGTAATGGACCCTTATTTCCAATCCATTTCTCAATAAAAGTATCATCCAAATATTGGGTAACTATTCTATTATTATGTGGAGGTGTCCCATCTTGTTGAAACAACATATTCAGTCGAGTTTGTATTGGTAAATTCTCCAAGAGATTCGCCAACACATGTTGTAGAAAAACCAAGTAACTCTCCCCATTGAGAATTCCTTCGAAAAAATGAGGTCCTATCAAATAACCATCAATGATTACGCACCAAACATTAACCCCACACAGATTGAAATCTCGTTTCTTGTACCTAATGAGGGTTCACGTCAAACCAATAGTGACAATTATGTTCGTTTATTATACCGTTGTTATGGAAATGGTGTTGAAAGGTGAGACCTCTTTAGTCCTTAGCTTGCACAAGTCTCTCAACTTCTGAGAGTCGTCGTTCGTATGGGGGCTGCAGCTGATTAACGGAAAAACATATTTTAGAGATTTTAGAGATTTCTAAAACAGATAATATTTTTTTCAGAAACTGATCATCATTATGTATACGGGTGGACAACCATGCAATGAAGTTCAATCTTCTATCAGCATCTCCTGAATATGGAAATATATTTTAGTTATCAAAAATGTAACATGAAGATTATTACCTGGATGTAGTCCTTGAACCAAATGTATTTTGTATGGATGGATTTTGTTTCTTGACAAAATACGTTGTATTGACGATTTCGAAATGTTACAATGCATTGCTACTTATCTGATAGAACTATATGGTTCCAACACCATTTGACCTAGCACTGGAACACTGTGATTCTCATCAGTGGCCGTTTTTAGTTTCTTCGCTTCCGTTCATCAAAATATCCATTTCGTGCCAAACATTTGGCTAAGCCAGCAAATGTTTATCAACTCTCTACAGAGGGTGATTACGAATTATCATTTCTGTTTATGTTTCTTATTTTGTGGTAGCATCACTGTTGATTGTCTTTTTATTTCTGTATGTTCGCGTGCATTATGGAGTGGTGTTTGTTGGTTGAGTTAGAGTAGCTTTGAGCTAGACTTCGCCAATGAGTACCAGAACCTCCTGTAACTTATTTTCATTTCCAAACGTATTTTTGTGCTGTTTTTTTTTGTATTATCAATAAACCGATTTATTGTTATTATTCCTAGATAAAGATTATGGAAAAAATCGATGTGGAAGACACTGAAGAGAAAATATCTAGCATTTCAAAGACATATTCTATGAATGAACTGCTTGAGATATTTGAAAGCAAGTGTCTATGAGCACTGGAGTAGTTTTCACTAATCAACTGCATTTCGGAAATTGTATTGTATTGTATTTCAGCGGGAGCCAGGTAATCCACTGGAAGATGAAGTGAATATGATTAAAATAAGAGGAAAGCCATACACTATATACTGTGGAACAATACGTAAGAAAGCGAGAGGGTGTTTATAGAATGCTCAATAGAAGTCAGTTGCCATTTATTCAAATTTTTAATTCAAATACGGACACAGAGACAATTAGGAAAATTCAACAACAACAAACTTTGAATTGATTAGGAATAACTCCATAACTCCATAATCAATAGTGAAAATACCTACGTTGAGTTTGTTGAATAACGAATGAGTCAGTTCCAATACCTCTCTTTCAGTTTTTCAATATCAATGCGAACTTTTCATGCACATGAATACATTCGAGTAAATTCAACCAACATTGAAATCGATATAGTGAAAAAACTGTAAAATATTTTCTGGTGAAATGGGATTTTTCATTATGACAAAAAATATTTGTGGATGAAATGGAAACAAACAACAGCTGCAGAACTTTCAATTCCAACTAAACAAATTCCATCATTAAAAAAACATATTCCAAGGCAAATATTGAAAATTCAGGTGGTTCGAGTTAACGCAGATTTTTTAATGAATATGGTTTATATGAACTACAATGATATGTACCTCTGAATATTTTCATCATGAACGGTGCGTCTAGCGGTTGTTTTCAACTTCAGTTATAGTATATATATTAAATCAGTATAAGACTATAAAAACTTCAAAAAAAAAATCCCACATTTCGTAATGAACTGATGACTGAATATTCCACTTCTGCTAATATCAAATAAAAAACAGTTTCACAGGAAATGCACAGCAGAATGTTTTTCTTTGTGCTTTTCTCACTCTTCGAAGCAAGTGTTTGACTCTTTGATTCTTTTATCTAGATATTCGGTGGAATATTTTTCCATTGCCAAAAATTACATAGAAATTCGTATCAGTCGTATCAATGATTCATTACCCACAAGGACAATCTTCTGTTCCTAGGGCTCCGCAGTCATACATTATTTTTAACACCTCGACACGTGTTTCGATCACAAAGTAATCATCTTCAAAAGAGATCAAACTCAGTTCAATGTTCCTCTTGAAACACGTGTCGAGATGTTGAAAATAACAGTTTGTTGTTGGGGTGAAACTCCAGTAATATTTATTACTACACCAAAGGTTCCAAAAAGTGCATCACGAGTACATAATAACGGGCAGTTCAACGGAACTAAATCTATATCGTGAGTCCTCACCAAAATTAGGCTAATACAAGCAGATATTTGGTTTCTTAAGGGCTGTATATTCAGTTCTTCCAGAATTTGTTAACGAAAATATTCCTATTAAATTTTCAGTTGCTGATAAAGTCCTGAAATTTGATTGAATCTAAAATAATCAAGTTCAAGCTGTAACAAAAAAATTGAGGACATTCTTGCTTAAAGGTAGGCAATTAACTCCATAATCATTCTTACTGATTGCAATCGATTTGTGATTTATCTTCAGAGAGAATACTTGTGCTGCACTGTTTGAAACCTTTAGTGAAGTAATTATTATCACTGGAGTTTTTTTTCAACACCAAACCATTATTTTAACACCTCGGCACGTGTTTCGATCACCAAGTGAACATCTCCAAGTACTTCAAGAGAAAAATCAAACCAATCTTCCTCTTGAAGATTATCATATGGTGATCGAAACACGTGTCGAAGTGTTAAAATAACGGTTTGGAGTTGGGAAAAAACCCTAGTAATATTCATTACTACACCAAAGATTCCAAACAGTGCAGCACGAGTATTCTCTCTGAACACAAACCACCTGTAAATAAGAATGTCCTGATTTTTTTTTGTATCAGCTTGAACTTGATTATTTTAGATTTGATCGAATGGTGTTACATACTTTAATGATTTAGTAATTTTGCAGATGTTTTACTTCCATAAAGCAAGGAAGAAATGTGATGATCCATTCGGGGACATCGTTACGAATTCACTTTTCATAATTCTTTATATTTTCAAGTATTCTTGAAACATTTATATGTACTCTGTAGATCACTTCATTCTTCCATCTCCAAAATTCCAGAATCACACAGTTTATGCAATACATTTCAACTCTTCCGTATTTTGAATATAATAAAAGCATGCCTTCTGTAAATCATGGATTTTCATTTTGTGGATGTTCGTCAGCTCAGGATGTTATGAAGTGACTCAAACTATCATCTCCTGATGATGCTAACTTGGTAAGCGAAACGCGCATCAAGTGACTGTCATTTTGTTCTGGTGTGTGAAAGGTGTCCTGGATAGATGAATTGTTCTGCTTGGGAAATATCTCAATTCTGTCTATTTTACATAATTTTGAAATGCTTGTACAATCACTATTTCAGAATTGAGTGAAGATTTTC